TTAAAAGTCGGCTTTGCGCTGTATCTCAGTAATTATACATCATTAACATGTTTTATATGTCAGAAATGGATCCTAAAAAATTTCTCCAAAAAACTATATTCTCAGTTCAACTACTATACATTAACGGTCACTCCCTTTAAAGTTTTCAAGATCCATAACCCAAAAATAGAATTTTCCAACAAAAATAATTCTTGAGATTAATAATTTCTCTTAACGCCCCTCGTAGGATATTTTTTAACTATAGTTGATGGACTGTTAAGAGGTTCCACAAGAATGACATTTTAACAATTCAAATTTGTTTATTCTAAACATTTGCTTTTCTTACACTAGGCTATTCTGTGTGAAACTATAATCTTATTTCAACGACCCCCACACAATAGTTGAATATCAATAGAGGGCGCTAATTTATGGGATGACAGAGGAAATTAAAACTATGTATAAAAAGGTTGAATCTCGAGGATTGATTGTTAAACCAATTATTAATTATCGAGCCATTAATTTGAACAGAAGAAATAATTGATCAGTGTTATTGACTTTGCACGAATCTCCTTTACAAAACGTTACCCACACACACACATCTTAAAAACATTTTACCAGCCCTCTGTTTTTTTCTTCTTTTTTTCAAACCATTTAAATGCACAGATTAAACAATGTATAACCGCCCTACAAATGCATTTAAAACCCCGGGAAATGAATTTTTGGCTGTATTATATGAAACGGTAGTGAATAATCTCCGAAAAGTGAAGTTGAGATTAATGAACGTCCCTCGAATTTCTTGTTGATATTTCTACGCTACTTCTCTCTGAGCCGTTTAAATCTATTCTTGGGCTAAAGAAGTAGGAGCTAACATTTGCCAGAGGGAAGGTCTGCAACAAGCAGAGTTGCAGGAGGGATGGTGGGGTGGAGTGTGAAGGGTGTAGGGGGAATTAGACAGAGAAATTTTTGTTGTGCATTCAAGGGAATGCAAGCAGTTATGAAAAAGACCTGGACAGAATTGAGGAAGAAAAGTATATATTAAGGTTAGAGTTGGAGTGTAGCAAAATGAATACATGCATATTTCAAACCACGAACGAAGGTTGAAAAAATACAAGACGAAAGGGTGGGAATGGTTTTATTTTTAAGATGAAAAGATATAAAATGATAAAAATAAGATTAAAGATGGAAAAGAGAGTTTGAAATACGGTTCGGATCAGAGAAGGAGACGAGGAAGATAATATTAAAATATTTTCTTTTTCAATCGGTCCCCCCCCCCCCCCAGGACACTCTTAAAAAGAAACCCCAGTGAAAAACCTCTGCCAATAGTACACAGTACACACTGAACACATGAGTATTTCAGGCAACTAGGAACCCCATAAAAAACTGGTTAACATTAACATTATATATTCTCAAGGGTTTTTGCTTGGACATAGATACTTGATAGGGTTGACCTGAGGATATAATTGGAGTTTAGGAACCAAGGGTTAATAGAATCAATTCAAAGGGTTAATAGAATCAATTCAAAGGGTTAATAGAATCAATTCAAAGGGTTAATAGAATCAATTCAAAGGGTTAATAGAATCAATTCAAAGTGTTGGATTTATTTAAACTAAAAAAGGCGCTTACTAAATATGTTATCTTCTACAGTTCTTCCATAACAAAAAAATATTAAAAAAAAATTCGGGATTTTTTGGTGTCCTGAAAAATTAAGGAGTTAAACCTGTTGTCAACAAATTGATTATTAACCATTATTTATGAATTATGAGTTATAAAATTTAATTGTTTTTCAATTTTCGTTTTTTTTCCCAATCGTTTAATATTACCCCAAAATGTATGCTTTTACTCCCAAAATGTATGCTTTTACCCCCAAAATTTATGCTTTTACCCCCAACATGTATGCTTTTACCCCCAAAATGTATGCTTTTACCCCCAACATGTATGCTTTTACCCCCAAAATGTATGCTTTTACCCCCAACATGTATATTATTACCCAAAATATATATGACTTTCCCAAAATTATTAATTATTTCCCAATCTAGGAGGAAAATAAGATGACAAGATGAAGTATGATAGAATATTTCTGTATGATCAGTACCCAATAATTAAAAAAATTCATAATTATTGTTAAACTTAAAATTAAAAAAATAAATATGTAGAAAATTTGTGTTTCGCAAAAAATGATGACCCCTCCCCCCCCTTACAATAATATTGCAGTAACAGAACTCTTTAATTTTAATGGTTTCTTAGGACTACATACATGTTTAATCAGATAAGGATAATTGAGGCTTGTACAGAGTAACACTAACAGATATAAGTGCTTTGGGAATATATTTGCAGTGTGAGATTAAATCTATAACCCTAGGACTATTTAGTTAATACTATTTATGAGATATGAACAGACCCCCCCCCCCCCACTATCTATCTATCCTAGCTGGAATGTATCCTATTAACTCTAAATATTAAGATCTAAGACCAGATAAGATACGACATACCAGTCTTGTAATACAAGGTCAAATACCCATGATGCAACAGAGGTTGCGTGAATTAATGTTTCCAGTTTATTATTTAGAGGTTTCGTGATTTCCAAACTAGGAATTCAAGTTTGAAAGTCGTCTTTCCTATATTGTTCAAATATTAATATATTAGCTGTTCGTGAAGTGGTTTAAAACTCAAATTTCTTAACAAAAATCGAATCGAAGAGTTCAGAGATTAAAACAGAAAATTACATTTAAAGTGAGTTTAAAGGACTTGATAATCCAAAACAAGAACATTTTCCTAAGCAACTATATGTACAGGGTGTCCCGCGAAACTTGACAGTCAAGACAATCCAAAGTTTCCCTTTGATTTTTAAAATAATTTGTGGTCTTAGTACAAAAGCAAAATATTTGAATTAATTATAAAAAAGTGTCGCTCTTCAGTCTTAATGGCATTTCCCAAATGTGGTCTGCCTTTTTTGCTTCAAAATTACCGGAGCTGTACACTCCTCTTCTGAACTAGGGACGAGTTAAACAAAAGCTCATGAAAAGTAACCACAGATCTTGAAAGGTGAAGTTATTAAGCTTTCGAAACGATTGAGCCCAAAATTGTATCTGTTCTTTACTGTACTAACAAATTTTCAGATTACTTTTATTGGTATTTTGGTACAATTTTACTCTTGTTTTGTTTAGAGCAGAATTAGATTAGTTTCTTCAATCCTTTGCCATGTTGGTTGTATTGTCCATTCAAAGAAGTTAAAATATTTTTTGGAAACTAGAGAATGAGTTCTCTAAGTTTATTATCGACCACTATTGCAAATTTACAAGCCATTTTTGTCTTAAATTGCCTGAAAACAAAATCTATTTTAACTCCAAGGTTTAAAAAAAACTCTTGGGTTGAGTTGATAAACTTCATGGTTTAAATGAAAAACTCAATGTTTCCAATGAAAAGCTTCATTGTTTTAAGGAAAAGCTCCATGGTTCAGATGATAAACTTCATGAGTTGAATATTAAACTTCATGGTTTGGATGATAACTTCATTGTTTGAATAACAACTTAATTGTTTGAATGATAAGCTTCATGGTTTAAATGAAAAACTTAATGGTTTTAGGGAAATTCTATGGTTTACATTAAAACCTCCATGGTTATAAGGATAAATTCTATGGTTTAGATGAATAACTCCGTGGTTAAATGAAAAATTTCGTGATTAAAGGACAAATTCTTTGGTTTAAATGAATAACTCCGTGGTTAAATGAAAAATTCCGTGATTAAAGGACAAATTCTATGGTTTAAATTAAAACCTCCATGGTTCAAGGGATAAACTCTAATAAAATCTATAGTTTAATACATCTTTTGGCTTCATGGTAGGTATGTCTTGAATAAGGTGTTCTCTTTTAACATTATTTTTTTTTTTTTAATTTTTACCAAATTTTAAAATAAAGCAATGAATTGTTTCTCTGGCTGTTGTATCTTCTGAATAGCTGATAATACATCTGTGTTCTCTAAACTCGTCTTGATGTAGTTAATCTTTAATTTTATTAATTTATCCTAGAAGCTTACCATCTAAACCATGGAGCTTTTTCTCCAAATCTTGTAAATTATCACCGAAACCACAATGGAATAAAAGATAAAGTGTCACAGTATATCATGTTAATACATTTTGTTTTCAGGCAATTTAAGACATAAATGGCTTGTATGTTTGCAATAATGATCAGTATTTAACTGAAAGAACTTATTCCCTAGTTTCCAAAATATATTTTACCTTCTTCGTATGGACAGTATAACCAACATGGCAAAGGATTGAAAAAACTAATCTAATTCTGCTCAAACAAAACATTAGTAAAATTATACCAAAATACCAATAAAAAAGATCTGAAAATTTGTTAGTAAAGTGAGGAACAGATACGATTTTGAGCTCAATGGTTTTAAAAAAGTTCAATAACTTCACATTTCAAGTTCTGCGGTTCCTTTTTCATGAGCTTTTTATTTAACCCGTCTTTGGTCCAGGAGAGGAGTGTGTAAATAATTTTGTTGAGATTCAGACAACTTTGGTTTATTTAATAAGTTAAAATAAACTCTTTGTATCATCAGTAATATTTGTAGCACAAAAAGGTAGACCAACTTTGAAATGCAAGGACGGGGAATGTTGTGACTTTTGTTCAATGAATCATACATGTAAAAGTAAGTTGACGAAAGACTGCCGCAATTTTTTCAATGATTAAAGACGATTTTTAAGTCTTCTTCTAACTGTCATGTTTCGTGGGACACTCGGTATGGCGCAAATTTAACGTTTTCAAATAAAAATGATAATAATAATAATGATATAAAAAGCAATTAAGGTTTAACCTGTTTAGTTTACCAAACATACAAACCTTTATCTGAGAGGATAAAAGGTATTCAGGTATTTTACAAGAAAGTCATGGTTGTGCATGATTAATTATTTAAAATACTGTGCGCTAATTCGTTTTTACGGGATTCTTGTTCGATTTTCAAGTCCTTTTACGTCCAATGGATCACTAATATTAAATGGAAGATTGAAGAATTTCCTACCTGAATTCTCGGTATCTCTGTTTTCCTGAACTACACTCTTCGACATGTTAATATTCTTCTTAAGAAGACGACCCCACGTGGCGACATTAATATTCATCTGCTCCGGACGCGGCATTTTCCCTTGCTGTCGGAATATCTTTCTTTGACGGCGTAGTTTTGGTTTTCTAGTTATCAGCGGGTTCAGGAACTTGACCTACATATTCTTAGTTAAAAAAATACACTTTCATCATACTCCATCTAAGTGATTTCAGTACAGGGTTATCCACAAAGAGAGACTTCGGAAACGACTGTACAGAATATTTCCAATTCTTTTTCCAAAATTCATGGTTCTCTACAGCTGAAAACTGGTTCCTTTCCTTGACAAATCCTTTAATATATCAGAGAAAGACTAAGTGCCCAAGTTCAACCCATAGATTGTTTGAGGTCGTTATTAAAGTCTCATCCTTTGTGGGTAACCCTGTACTTCAAAGATATAAACTCATACCTCGGCGAATAGTAGTCCTTGAGGTTCAAGCTGCATGGCCATACCGTGTCTAACATCATCTATAAACTCCTCCAACCTAGATTAGAAATATTTCAATCCTCCAAAAATGTTATTAAACTTTAACTCTAAAAAAGAAAGATTTTAAAATAGTTAAATTTGATAACACTTTGTTTTAAATGGTGAAGACACACATTGTAATTTGTAATACTCAGTTACATAGGCGGTTTCAGGAAGGGGCAGTCCATTACGCCCCCTTGAGTAAAATGGGGGGGGGGTATACTCCCCTAGATTTTTACAAAGTCATTACTCTGAAGGCTTTTGACCTGGAACAGGTCATCTATGACCACCGACAGGTTGGTCAAGCTGGAAAGAATGGCTAAGCACACTAAGAGGCTTGCCTCAATTTCGGACAACAGTATTTTTTATTTTGGACAAAAATTTCTGTTTTACTTTCAGCCTTCTTATGATTTACTTTTATTTTTAACTATAAAAATAAACATAAAAACTACTTGCTCTCTCCTACAAGAAAAATTAAATATGATTTAAGAAGCATTATTTACTAAAAGATCAATAATAATAGCAGGAAATAAAAAATAATTCTCCCTTCATTAGAATAATATGCAATGATATGTATAATGTTAATGTATAAAGTTCAATCTATAATTTTATTTTTATATGATTATTAGATAAATAAATGGATTATTAAGATATTTGCCTACCCTGTACTTGGTAAAAGAAACTGTAATTTTAGTTGGGTAAATATATAATGTGAAAAGGAAAAAAATACTAGAAAGTAAAAAATGGAAGTAGTCTATTGTGTATTGTAATAATTTGTATCGACGAACCTGAGAAACTTGACAGCACAAAGGGATCTCCAATCCTTCCAATATATAGATATCTCTAGTTCCCTACTCTTCTCTAGCTGTATAGAAAACCTCTGATCCCAGGCCTGCTGACTACAGCCTCGCCAGCTTGTCCTCGCAACCTCCACGTTATCCAACTTCAGCACAGCAGAGATATCGTCTAAAAAAATAATGATAACGTAAAAATTCAGCCATCATTCCGTTCCGCAGGGTTGATATCTCAAACATTAAAAGAAAAGGCCGAATCATCTAGCAAACACCTAAAAATGTGTGACCAAACCACTTTCATAATTTCTTAATAGTTAAATAATTGACAATTGTGTGAATGACTTGAATAATAGAAACACTTAATTTGAAAAATTCACGGATTTAATAGTTCTATAACCTGGGGGGGGGTTGTTTGAAATAATTATGCCCCTTGGACGAATTCCTGTACAGTGTAGTTGTCCCTGTTCATAACCGTTCACTAGAACAGACATAAAAAGCACAAAAAAAGACGAATAAAAGACTCTGTTCGAATTCAAGGCCCAAAAAGAAAGTGTCACAAAAGTAAGCGTCACATGTATAGGATAATAAGGCCAAAATAATTTTACTCATCTTAATCGTTTTATACCCAACATCCTTTCACAAAATGATAATAAAACATTTACACTCCCTCCCCTCTCCTTTCCTTTGTAAACCGGCGTGTCCTAGCACCTCCTCATTCTCAAATATTGTGTTTGAATATTAAAGATGGGGGGAAGGTTAGGGTTCAGCTCTCAGGAGAGAAAAGATTGGATTATGTCCCGGAGAAGATTGACAGGTTTAAACCCTTCAAAAGAAAAAGAAATTTCCAAAAAGACTCAAACCACTAACCCCCCCCCCCCCTCACTTTAAACTCTCACCCGAGAATAAAGAAAGGTGTAATAAACCCCAACCGTCTAGTTTATAGTTAATGAATTTTCATACCTAGATCGTGATTCAACTTTCAGCCTTAAGTTATACAGAATTAAAAATGAGTTTTAAAATTAGATTGTTTTAAAATNCCCCCGGCATTGTAGATTTGTCAGATATAAAAAACTTTGTGTTTACAGAGGGAGGAAATCAAATGAACAACCTGCATGAATGAAATAAAGTACACCACCCGTCACGTCCTCGCATTACCACCATATATGAATGAAAAATCACGAAACCTTTTCATTAAAAAAGCATAAAAATCCGCGAATCATTCTCCTAACTTTAATTTCGTTCTATTCATGCCCGTAATGATGCCAACCCAGTAATTTAGAATAATAATGAATCCAAGGAATCATCAGGATACCGGAACCTGGTTAGGATTATAACTATCACAATCGGAAACATCGGAAACTAGACGTATCTTTTAATAGCATATAGGGTGTCCCGAAAAAAAGGGGGATTAGGGTTTTCTTAGCATTAGTCTTAAAGCTTGGTCACCTTTTTTATCCAAACCTCGTTTCTGTTTATGAAGAGATAAAAATATTAGAAATATGGTTGAACTCAATTTGATGAAGTCAATGACCAAATATGTCTATAAAAATGAGGAAAGTTTATAAATATTTCTTGACACCAAATTCTGGGTAAATTGTTGATGCATAGACTTCTTACTTAATTTTTTTTATTAAATAAAATAACATCTTCGCAAAATTAATTTTAAGATAAAAAAGTATTGACTATTTTGTCTGCTTTACTTACTATGCACATAAAAAAAGTTTTTAGTAGTATTTTTTAAGTTCCAAGCTAGGTCCTATGACAGAAATGGGAAATTGTGGAAATGTTCACACAAATATTTTATTAAAAAAGTAAACAAAACATGTCACATTGTAACCTTTTTGACGTAAATTTTAACGTTCTTAAAATAAGAGTTACTTACTGCTGGTTTCGTCCTTCACATTATAACTCTTCGAACTACTTCGGGTAACCGCCTTTAGTTTAATAATTTAGTTTCGAAATAATATTTCAGTTATATAATTTATTTTCGAAATAATATTTACAATATTTGTCCACCTAGATGCTTGACAACAATATTTTCAGCATTTTTGTCTCCAACATTAGGTGGTAAGCAAACAGTAAACAGTTAACACTTACCAGAAAACAAATAAAAAGGTGAAAACAGTTTGAAACTTCAAATGACAAATTGCTTGGGATTTAGTTTTCATAATTTTTATAACATACTTAAAATCACATTCTCGAAGCGATTATAGGATGGTTAAAAATACTTTTTTCCAATCTAGCCTGAAGGTCCCTTTTTATATGACTTTCTGAATTGATTGTACTAAACTGAAAAATAGTTATGATACTAATAATGAATATTTTGAATCTTAATGACCAAAATAAGTCTCAAGAATTGAAGAGAACTTAAACCAACTTATATATTTTTTTCAAAAGTACAACTATCAGAGATAATAGATAAGATCGTGGAGATCCCCAATGTGGGATCCCCAGACCGCCTTCGGAAGTAATGGTCAGGGGCTGATTCCAAAACCTGGTCAATCCGGCACCCTGATCTCATTCCCCCTACTCCAACTTGTTTACTCCATGAGGGTTAATAATATTATAATTATAATATTAAAATTAAATAATAATAAATTATTCCTTAAAGACAGATTTGACGTCGGACGGAGATGAGAAGACTGAGGATTGAGCTCTGGATCTACCAGGAACATCTTCTATCAAATCCTTAACATTTTTTTCTTTCAAAAATGATTTTTAATCGATTCCAGTTAAAATGTTATACAGGGATTGTAAGATAAATAGTACGAAGAAGCCTTTTATAAGAGTTAATTTTCATGAGAAAATTTGGAACCACACCCTCCTTTCATTATCTAAAAACAATCTATTTTACCTGACAACCCATGAGACGAACTTCTAGTTTACCGGTCACAGCCGCAGTTCTGGAGAAACTAGCCAAAGCCCTAAATATTATCTTTATTAAATCTTGGCGATAAATAATTAAAAATTGCATAAATAATTAAAATGTAATTCTGATTTTTTAATTTCTTGTTTTTTCTTTCACGCTTCTTCTATAAAACTTTAAACACACTTTTGTTCACAACTGATTAGATACATGGATATATGTTTGGACTTAACTGTTTTACTTAACAATAAACGTCCAACCGAACGATTAGGAACAAATTTTTCCCTAGGCCAAACATTGCCCAATTTGAGGTTTTTGGCAAGTAAGAATTTAAAACATAACTTATCAACAGTTTAGGAAATTCACCAAAAAAAATATTTGCGAAGATTCCGTTATTATAATTTAATAATCTTCGAAAATTTTTTTTTACAGATATAAGCCATGAGGCGCCCTTAAAGCACAGCAAATACATAAAAATAATTAATATTAACTATCTATATTTATATATATATTTATATACTTTGCTTGTCTGTCTGTCATTATGTATCCAATATACGTAAAAACGACTTAACCGATCGGTCCCCAATTGTGTGTGGGACCTCACATGACCCCAGGAAAAGGTTTATAGATAATCAAAATTTCAAAAGTTAGCCTCCAACAAAATTCGATTTTCATTAATAATTATAAAAAACTAATACTTAAAACGTATAGTTAATAGGACTAAATCCTAAAATGGCAGGATTGGATAGGACAAAACATCCCGTTCGACACTGCTATGGTCGGCAGCTCCTGGCTCATCATGGCTAACAAAGAACTAGGAAAACATGTAAAACTCAATATTTACTGGAACCAACTACCCTTGATTGTCTAATCTAGTCCATAACTACAGTTTATGCTAAAGATATAAAATAAATATACATGTGTACATCCTGATAAGTCCTATCTCCTGATCTCTATACTCTGATAAACCCCTAGCTACAGCACGACGCTGCGCCTGCCATGGAATAGGAAACCCGCTGCGGGATTCTCTAGTATACTGCACAGTGTACAGGGATATCAGTGACACATGATATGGAAATCTAACCATAAATACTCGTTAGTTTCAAGATATGATGAAAACAATACATTCCAGAGCAGGCATCTACTACAATTCGAGCCTAGTATATCTGGAGTCTATCGCAGTTTAAAAAATAAAAGATTCTGCATGAGGAGTATTCTCGTAGTTTTCACAGTATGAGAACAGGAGAACAAGGCAAGAACTAAGGAAATCCTTGTTAAAATTCTTGCAAACAATTCCCTCTTTCCACCACACAGTGGGTCAACTCTTTTTCTTGTAATACATGTCAATGAATTTCATCTTATCGAAACAAATACTCACGAAACCCTCCTCACTTATCCTTTATTATTTGTCTGAATAAAACAATATGAACGTTATAAATGTCAGTTAAGACACAAAAAAATAGAAGATGTTGAAAACTTTCCCGAGGGTTAGTTCCCAACTTCCCAAGTGGTGAAATCCCAATTATTTAAATTTTTTCAAAATAAATCTTACTTCTTTTATACAAAATTATCCATTGGGAATGATTTAAATAGGTTGTAAAAATGTGAATTTGTTATAAAAAGGTTTATGGAATTTCTATTATTAACCCTATAAAGGCTGGGGGTCTGAATCTATGTAGAGCCTGGGGGGCCTTATAGAAAAGGCCTTAGAGAATAGGTATAGGGTTGAAGTGCATGTTCATAGCCCAATTTATCATGGCCAGCTCAAAGAAAAAAAAATAGACAGATTAACTTTAACAGTTTGGGTGCTAGGGTGGGTGGAAAAAATGCCTAAAAAAGGGTCATGCATTTTTCAAGGGCTTTTCAAAAATATAGTTTTAGATCTGTAGCTTTAGTTACAAAAAGTTAAGGGCTATTTTAGTTTTTTTTCACATAAGGCCTTACGCCTTTCAAGCCTTACTTTCTAAATCTAAATCTGAATTTACCTTGCGGGGTTCATCTGTGTGTTGGTATTATAATTTTCTCCTGTTTGGTTAAATGATCCTGGAGACATTGTTACAGTTGACTCTATCTCATTCTTCAACTCCTAACCACAAACCATCATGTTTTATCAGAGATAAATAATCAATAAATCGTCAGAATATGGAGCAAGTAGAAAGAATTAAAAAACAGAAGTATAATCTAAAATTATAAAATATCTGAGTTCAACGAATTTTACATGAACACCGGAACACAACGGTTGTTTGACAGAACATATCAATCTGAGCGTCAGGGGCACCTTTGAATGTTAATAATGACTTGATGTGATTCTAATTTTAGAAGTTAAGGTATGTATTTTAAGATGTAAGCAATCCCTTTAAAATAGATGACTTGATGTGATTCTAATTTTAGAAGTTAAGGTATGTATTTTAAGATGTAAGCAATCCCTTTAAATCACAAAAATCCTTCCACTGAATAGGTAGGGGATGTATATAATCAAAATTAGAAGCTGGTTTATGTTCCTGAGCTTTAGAAGAACCCAGAGGAAGATCCTGTCTCACCATCTCCAAACTGTGTCGGATCAAATCAAGCTTCTGACTCGACTCAAACATATTCTGCTGGGCATCGTTCATCGCTTTCTTATCCTGGCTTTTAGATGCGTTTAGAATCTTAAGAACATTTTTAGCTCCTTCCAGACAAGCGGATTCTATCCGGAGGTGATGTCTCAGTTCCTCTATTCTCTCCTCAACCGGAGTAATCATTTCAACACTTTTTTCACAATTCTTATCTAATTCACCGCCGGAAACCTGCTGTTTAGTTTTTAATATTCTCATCCGGAGATATTCCATTTTAGCTTTAGAGTCCAGTAACAACTCCTCCGCCTCGACAAGGAGTTTCTTATCCTTGGTTCCACTAAACTGACTCAGCATGTTCTCTGCTCCCTGCCGAACCTTGGTCTCAATATCTAGCTGTCTCTGAAGGTGGAATAGTCGCTGCTCAGCCGCAGACCAGGATTCAGGTTCATCTCCGGGTGTGGATGGAAACCCAGGAGACATAAGAGCATCTGAAACATTTACATTAGATTATTTTTGAGCAAACATTTAGTTCCAGAAAAGATTAGATAATATAACATTCGAAATTTCGTTAAACTCGACTAGAAAACTATATGAATCCATATTTATTACTAGGAAACCCTGAACTACTCATATTAAGAACTAGGACACCGTAAAACAGTCAATAAACAGAACTAGGAGACCCTATAACACTAGAAACCCAATTAACACTCAATATTTGAAACTAGGAAATTATGTAACAATCAATTTTTAATACAAGGAAACCATGGAACACTTAATATTAAGTAATAAGAAACCGTTCAAACACTCAATATGTTTAACTAGGAAACCATGGAACATTTAGTAGTAGGAAACCATTAACACTTAATATTTAGCTTCATATTTAGAACAAGGAAACCGTGCAACATTCAATATTTAGAACTAGGAAACCACGGAACTCTTAATATTTAGTAGTAGGAAACCGTGGAACTCTCAGTATTAAGAACTAGGAAAACATGTAAAACTCAATATTTAATACTAGGAAACCACGGACCTCTTAAACATTTAGAACAAAGAAACCATGTAACACTCATATTTAGATCTCCATGTAACACACAATATTTATTACTAAGAAACCAATGAACACTCAATATTCGAAGTTGAAAACCCATTTAAATGTAACGATGTAAATTTAATATTTGAAACTGGAAAACCAAGCATTATCCTATTGTATAAATCTCATAATAATAATCCAATTTGGCAGAAGCCAGAACACATCAATAATCTTCTACAATCCGATAATAATTTGATTTTATTAGAATATAATATAATCTAAAAGGCAAAGTTCAATTAATATTCATGAACTAACAGAACAACTGTGCACATTTCTCAAACAGAAATGGCATTTTCATTTTAAATTAATTTTAACACAAGAAATAATTATTACTTGGAAGAACTTATTACCTTTACGCTACCGCAAGAATACTTAGATAAAAAACGTTAACTGAAATAATAAAATGTTTAATATGGAAAATCATTAATTAGAAGTGTTTACAATTGGAGCAAAAGGGTTGATTACTAACCTACTAGTGGGAATAAGGTTTGATTACTCACCTACTAGTGGGAATAAGGTTTGATTACTCACCTACTAGTGGGAATAAGGTTTGATTACTCACCTACTAGTGGGAATAAGGTTTGTTTACTAAACTTCCAGTGAGAATTAGCCTAGACTAATCACGAACTGGTTTAGTGTAAGGTTAGATTACTTACCTACTAGAGGGGAGTATGGTTGGAATACTCATTAAATAGTAAAGAATAAGGTTGGATTACTCACCTACTAGTTGTTGATTATGTTGGATTACTCACCTACTAGTTGTGGTTTGTTAGATTACTCACCAACTAGTGGGGAATAGGGTTGGAAAACTCACAAAATAGTAAGAAATTAGGTTGGATTACTCATCTACTAGTTGTGGATTTTGTTGGATTATACACCTACTAGGTGTGGATTATGTTAGATTACTGTTGGGGTTACTCACCTACAAGCGGGGAATAAGGTTTGATTACTTACCTACAAGTGGGGAATTAGGAAGATTCCCTTGAGTAACTAAGAGTTGTGAATCTAGTTCTTGAAGCTCCGCTTGAAGTTCTGTCAGCTTGTTGTTGGACTTCTTCACGATGTGGTTCACGTCGGAGACAGATTTTTTATCTTTGGCAACCTTACGGAGGTTTTCAGCTCCCTCTTTGATCTATTTAAGAAATTAATTTAAGTCTTTTACTCCTTGGAGGACTCCTCCCCCCCCTCCCCCTCCCCTGCTCCGGTCTAAACTATATGGAGCAGTTTGATTAAGAGCTTGTAATACCATCCTAAGCATCCTCCCCTAACTTATTTATCTTATATTTATATCCTTCAACTCTACAATGGTCAGAAGCTAGTAAATTAAACTTAGAACATATTCTTGATTCATATCCATACGAATTATATATCCAGTGTATTCTTGATTTATATCCATACCACCAATTCTATGTCCTGTATATTCTTGATTTATATTCATACCACCAATTTTATATCCAGTGTATTCTTGATTTATATCCATACCACCAATTCTATATCAAAATGTATTCTTGATTTATATCCATACCACCAATTCTATATCAAAATGTATTCTTAATTCATATCAACACCATCCTTTTTATATCCATTGTATTCTTGATTCATCTCCAACAAATATGTATCCACGTATTTATTTTATAAACTTATTAAATATATCTTGTATCCAGATAGTTCTCAATTTTTATCTAACAATGCAACCCAAATAAAATCAAAATATATATATATCCAAATACATATCTTGTCAATTCTGGACTTATTATTTTATATAGATATCAAACCAATTACAACCATCGTAATATTGATCAACAAGAAAAATCCACTTTAAAGTGAGTCCTGACCACAGATTAATAACAATACAGATAGAACCCTGGATGTCGTCTTTTCAAGATTTAGGTGTTTTTCTTTCACAATAACCCTAAGACAGAAGCCCAAAGTAGTTACGCGCATGCCGCGTTGAATGACAAGACAAGAGATAGACCATGCACGCAACTCATTTAGGCTTCTGTCTCAGGGTTATTGTGAACAAAAAACCCCTAAATCTTGAAAAGACGACATTTATTAATCTACATGTATTGCTATTAATCTATGGTTCTAACCCTACTCTGTAAGATTTTATCCGCCTAATTCTAACCTTACAGTTGACGCAGGAAAGTGCGCCACACTTTGTTATCCAATTAATAATACAATTCTAATCCTCACTTGTTTTCAAACTAAAACAGAAACAAAATTACAAGAATCTGAATACCTTGAGCTCCTTCTTGATCTCCCTCCTGAGGTACTCCCTGAGCTCCTCAAGCTTCTGTGGGAGGGGGGCGTGGGAGAGATGAGTCTGGATCCCATACTTGACGGACAGTTCGTTTAGTAAACTCAAGGATAGGTTGTCGTCCTAGAAACAAAAGATGAGTTTAACTAAATCCAAGTCATCCTTTAAGACTGATAAACATTTCATTAAATATTCTCTATATGGATATCTTTACATCTAAGACGTCTACAGGGGGTTTCATCATTTCGTCCAATATCAAGTAAAGAAGAAAGTTTACATGCAGAAGTGTACTGTTGCATTGGAAGAAATGTAAATAAATATAGAACCGGTATTGGCTTCCTTTTTGGTAATCAATTAATGTTTTACAGTTTAATAAAATATTTTACATCTATATATTAAGTAGTGATCTCTGTTTGACTGTCTATTTGTTTGGATGTCTCATTATAACTCATGAACCCCTTGGCCGATTTGACTGGAATTTTGATTGGGAAACTCGTTAGAACCACGGGAAGGCGAATAGTATGGTTAAAAGAGGAAAAAATGTCGTCGTCGTTCTTACTGAATGTCACTAGAGATTTGGAAAGAAATTACGCGTAACCTATGATATTTCAAATTCAGATCATCACGTATCTACGGTCTACGATTAGAAAATCGAGTTTATGACAAAAACTTTAAATTCTGAATAAATCATTTGAGTACTCTGAAATGATGAATAAATGAAAAATAAATTTTTAAATTTATCAAATCAAAGAACGATATTTACTGTGTAAAAAATGTATTTTTACAAAGAAACACGAAATCCTATAACCAAGATCAAATGTAGTTCTTTCTAGAAAATACAATACAGAGGAAATGTTTATTATCAAATATTTAGAAACACGCGAACAAAATCTAAAGAATTTTAGAATTGGAGAACATTTATCAATTTTCTGTTCAATATCAAATGAAAGAGGGAAAAACAGTTGATAAAGGAACAAATGTAGGTTCATCTTTAAAAAAAGAAAAAGAAAAAAATTATTTTAATGATCGAAACTAAGTTGTTGGATGAGGAAGGGAGGAATGAAAAATCATAAAAGATTGATCTAAATGGATGAATGCATGGATTATAGATTTATGGATGAATGAATAGATGAAGAACAGTTTAAGCTTGATATGGTTTCCAGACAATCCGACAAGAATCCTAATCAGGAGTGCTCTATTATCCAAACCAGGGGTGCTGAATCATCGGCCAGGGGCTATATAACAAACTCGAGAGGGGTTGGAGAGAGGGATGTTGCAGTTTTTAAATAATTTCCAAGTTACTTTGGATTTCCCATCTCCACAATCTGCAAGAATGACGAAACAAAATTTCTCAATTCTTTGATTAATTTTGTTAATTCTGACCACAACTAGACAATTAGACATCTAGAGAACACTTTCTCTGGTGACACCCCACCCCCCTTCTCTTCTTAGTAAAGATGATACGACCCGGCGGCACCAGTCCTTGTAATATCCAGACAATCAGGAACAAATTCTGAAGATCATGATACTTCAAGCCCTACAGGATCAGTCAAGGGGGGTCATACACCAAGCTCAATACTTGAAGATGATCCTGGCTTAAACAGATTCTAGAAATGCATCCCATAAACTCTTCTCCAAAACCGACATTTAACAAGCTAACAACCTGCTGGTTTAAGTATCATTAAGTGTGAACGAATACTTATTGCAAAATGACAATTCTTATCTTGAAATCTCTCTTTAATGCCGAGTATAAAGGTTCAGGATCCAACAAAAAAAGTGTACAATAAAACACTTTTAACATTGTACAACATGCATACAAACAACACAAGAATATAGAAAAATTGTGTAATGCCCCCCTCCCCCTCATCGTTTTCCATCCTATCCTTTAAAACCTGAATAACAGTGTAAACCTGCGAGCTTCTAGTTTTCAAACAACGTCATTTCATTTCCCACTTCTGTTCTTGTTATGTCAAGTTGACAAATATAGTGTTCCCTTATGTCTTCTTCCAGCCATCCTTTATGTCTATCTATCATCATATTTAGTATTTTTTTTCAATATTTTTTATTTATTTTTTCTTTTACCGCTCTTCCTTCTTTAATAACCAGCACACTGCGATTTAATGGTCTCACGCTCTCAAGCAAAAATCGTTGAGAATTTTGCCAATTACTTCTAAAAAACCAAATCTAACAAGAAGTGCTTTACAGTGCTAAAATGTACATGTAAAGGGCTACAGAAAAGCATAAGTGAGTTAGAGCGGTAAAATCTAAGCTTAGGGCGTTGCGACACTTCAAAGTCAGCCCTGTCTTAAAAATTGATGAGACTGTTTATAATGAGGCTGAATCTATGTGAGCACAGTATCTTTATTTAGGCATGAATAAAGTCAGTACATTTATCTTAGGATGCCTCCCGACCATAAACCTTAGATTAGAATTTAAATATCAGAATTCAGATTCCATCCTGGTTTAGTATCCTGGGGCGAGAGATTAAGTTCTCAAATGGGTCGAGTTGACAAGAAAAATACAATTTAAAAGTAAGATACTGATCCTATACCGGGGAGGAGGGTCTGTTGAGTGCATGAGATAGGTCGAGGGTTAACTCTGCCGGAAATTTACTCCTGATGGTTCAAATACTTCACAAATGCAACTTCATTCGATTAGGTTTGTCAGGAAAGATTAAACTTAATCCTTAAAAACAAAACTTTATGAAAAATTAAGCAAATCCAATCTTCATAGTAAATCTTTAAAAACTGTTAATAATCAATAAAAGTTCAAAATATTAAGATCAAATAAATTCTTTTTTAATCAACGAAATTGTTAATAAATCAGGTTTAAACATTCGTAATAAAATATTAACATAAATAATTTTTGTATTCGTGGGCTGAGGTCGGCAGTGCAATTCGGGAATTCATATTATTCAAATTTTCTAAAAAATTCAGTAGGTTTAGAATAATTTCAGGAGAAAAGACGTAAATCTGAGACTAAGTAGATGCAAAGAATAGACCTTAAAAGAAACCCGAAGAGGGGAAGTAAAAAAGAGAAATGATTATGTCCACCCCCTCCCCCCCAGATTTCTTTTAATCCCTTCGGATTAATGGAAATATATATTTTACTCAACAATCCCTACAACATAATCCATCCTTTGCTTTCCACCACCTGAACCTAATCAAACCAAATCTGAAGATCATGAGAAAAAAAATTCAGAAGTTAGGTCTTGTCCTAGATCTTACTCAAGGTAAAGCTTAATTAAAGCTCTAGCTCTGGCTTAAGCTAACAAATCTGTTTCCCTAACATAAGCAAAAGATAAATCTAACACCAACTTAAGCTATCAAGCTTAATTCGAAATAAAGCTAAAGTCCAATTTTAAAACTCAAACTTAAGCTCTGGCAAGATGTAAAAAATATATAATCCTTAATTTAAGTTTAAGTTAAACTGAAGAAGTTTAAGTTAAACTGAAGAAGTTTAAGTTAAACTGAAGAAGTTTAAATTTAACTGAAGAAGTTTAAGTTTAACTGAAGAAGTTTAAGTTTAACTGAAGAAGTTTAAGTTAAACTGAAGAAGTTTAAGTTAAACTGAAGAAGTTTAAGTAAAACTGAAGAAGTTCAAGTTGGACTAAAGAAGTTAAACTGAACACCCCCCTCCCCTTTTCTCCAACACTTTTGCAATCCAAACAATCTAAACTAGAAAATCAAGATAAAGAAACAAGAGAACAAATAAGGAGCAGAAACCGTGCAAAGTGTATCTTTATTCTACACTTGGTCTGAGAAATTCAAGTAACTAGAATGTAAGATTGTGTAACAGATTACACAGAAAGTTATGCATGGCGAATCCCTCCCCCCCCCCCCTCTCCACCCCTTGTGAAAACAGTAGAGATTGAGAATATTCGTCCTTAGTTCTGCACGAAATTGAGGATTTACAAACTACACCGAGTTTCGCCATAGTTAAAATTTGCATCGTTTAAAGTAAAACCTTGGTATCTAGTATTCAAAATTAAATTTTGTCGACATTGATTGTTGTTAAAGACAAAAACCTTTCCCGAATAAAAAGAAGTGGAATGTGAAGTGTAGTGTTGACGTAATTTCAAGTGACATTTATACTTTCTGATTCATAACTGAACCTTTTAAATCTTTTGCTGAGAAAAATGATCAAATGATATGCGTTGTTCTATTTAAAAATTATAGAAAATTGAAAATCTTATCCTATAGTTTCTCTGTAAGTGGCGGCAGATCTATGCAGCAGAAATAAGAAAAAAATTGACAGAATTTAACACTTTACAAAATATCTTCCTCATAGTTGGTTTTTTGTTAAAAAAATATTAACAAGCGACCGGAATAAAATGAAATTTTAAAGTTCAATATCAGAATATTTTAATCGGTTTTTGAGTTTAAAAAACTACTACTTCTGAAATAAAAAAGTAGTCTCCTGTAATTAGGTCGGCATCCCTCTAACAGTTAATTTGCGATCAAATGAAGTGTAACCAGTAAAACCAAAAAACTTGACATTTTAAACAAAAACGGGTAGAGGAAACTTTAAATTGAATAGAAATACGTTTTGAATCCGCAAACTCGTGATTCATACGAGAATATATGAGATGAGATCTAGCGTTACCCGGATAAAAAAGTATTAAAACCTGTAACGAATACAAAAGAACGGTTTAAGTTAAGGGATTAAATAGAATTAAAGTAGCGGTATATAATTATAAACAGAGTTTGTTGAGTGACTAAACATGTGTTGTTTCCCGGAAAATAATGAATGAAATTTGCATCACCTTTTTACCTCCGCGGAACTCACGTTTCAGGATTAATAGATACTAAATTAGCAATAAATCTGTCAGACTTAAGCGCGATGCATGCATAGTAACCATGGCCGAGTAGGTATAGAAAATATAGGATAGAAGAAAGGTTGGGTTTGACATTGTTTAATGGTTCTGTAGGAAGGCGTGATAAACCCACCATGCTTCTGAGAGAGAGAGAAGATCTGGGCGACATCTCCTCAAGATTTCACTTGACCTTAGAAATTCTTATCTAAGCCTGAACTCACTTAAAAGGATTGTATTCAATTATCCAGGATTAAAATCCAACTTTAATCATATTTCGAGGAACGATAATCTCACAAAAACTTGGATGTAGACATAGGAATGTTTTGCTTGGGTTTGGGTTTTCACACATTCCGGTGATGCCCCGTCCCTGGAGTAAGGTCGAACCCGTACTGGCAGCGCTCCTGCCCCTGCTAGCAATACATACACCACGGGAAATCAGGCGGACGGACTGACAGGGAGAGGATGGATAGAGAGAGAGAGAACCAAACCTTGCGTAATCATTCCAACTAGAATAATCCTTGCAATAAAAGTATATATGATCAGCATTGGGCGGAGCACATTAGATTAGGGAACATCTTCAACTAGTGCTGTAGATAAGGAGGGAAGACCCCCCCCCCTTCCCTCACTGATCAGGTCCAGGATGGGTATTGAGAGCATGATACAAGTACATACACAGTGCAATTAACCATTTCACAGTGACAAAAACTTTAAAAGTAGAATTAATTTATTGACAGAATAGAAGAAAAACTACCAGCCAGATAATTGAGTTATTGAACATAAAATATCAAATAATAAGGAAAACAAAGTGCATTTAAACTAAATGTAATCTAAGTCGACATAATGAGTTTTTCCCCAGATATATGAGGTGTTCCTAGTTCCTGGCACCATTCGAACCCGGGTTACAGGTTACAGGGTCAGGATTAAACTACAAGGACGAGAGATTCATCTGTTTCGTAGTTTTAAAAACGGGTACAAACCCAGGGGCCGAATTTAAAGAGTTTGAGCCGTGGCTTACATTTGAGACGCGGCTGAAATATGGTTGGTTACACTTAAAATTGTATTCAATGCTTCAAGATTTAAACCGGCGCTCAATTGAAACCGGGTTTTAGGTGGATTTGAGACGCAGCTCAAATTCATTAAATTCAGACTCATGAAGATGTTCCAGGGATAAAACTAACTAGAGACCGGAATTAATGAATTTGAGCTAGGGCGCTGAACTTACTACTGTCAGTTCAATTCAAATTGAAGTCTAATGAGTCGTTTAACCAAAGAAACGAAAAAATGAAATTATCCATCCAATATCTGAGGACTAAAATGAAATCACGGGATTTAGGCGGAAGAACTGAGAACTGAGGTTCATTATTTATCTCAGATATTTAGATAAGAAGTATAATTATGGTTTGTCAGAAACCGCTCAGTAATCAAACATTTTTATCCTGGCTAAAACCTAAGATTAGAAAATAGGGAAAAACCTGAAAAATGGGAAACTTTTCGCAAAACGATTTATTATAGTTCTAAGAAAAAAATTACAGATTTACAGTATTTTAATCTACATTTATCTTTAAGTTTCTAAACTTCAATCTCTAGGACAAGAATTTTACTTTTACTTTAACTTTGCCGACCCTGTAACCGTCGTCCATCTTTACAATATTTATGCTTGCGACTTCAATGGATCCCAATTATGGGACTTTAACAGTAGCAATGTTATAAAATAATATAATTCATGGAATGTTTCCAATCGAATTTTATTTGATGTTCCCAGAAATACTAATCGATGCCTTATTGAGCCTATTTCTAGATGCTCGAACATAAAAACTTCATTAGCGAGCGGATTTGTTGCCTTTTCTTAATGATTTAACAGCACAAAATAGTCATGCATTCGAAATAACTCTTAATCAAAAGTTTTTATTTAGTTCTCTTTCCCATCTTTTTTCCCCCTTTCTCATGTATTATCTATTTTCCTTCATTTTCTCCTGTCATTCTCCACCCCCTTCACCCACCACACATTTCTACTTGCTTTACTCCTCTTTTCCTTCCTAACTCCTATTCTTCCACCCACTCCCTCCCTTGTTGTGTACTGTGTAGGATTATGAAGAAGATCTTGTAAAGTGCTAATTTGCATACCTAGTCCTAGTCTAGGCAAGGTCAAAAGATGGATAATTTGTATCAGAGGGAACACACTATACACTATACAGGGACTAGAGGGGGATATAGGGACTACAGGGGAAACAGGGACTACATGGGAATCCAGGGAATACAAGGGGGTACATGGACTTTGGGAAAAACTAAGACTACAGGGGAATGCAGGGACAGGGGGATACAGGGGGATACGGTGACTATGGAAACAGAGACTACAGTAAGATGCAGTGACTACATGGAGATACAGGGACTACAGGGGGATACAGGGACTACAGGAGGATATAGGGGACTACAGGGGGCAACAGTGACTACAGGGAGATACTGCGATACAGGGACGACAGGGGGATACGGGGCTTACAGGGGGATATTGGGAAATATAGGGGACTTCAGGGAGCAACAGTGACTACAGGGGGATACTGAGACTTTAGGGGGATACATGGACTACAGGGGGATACAGGGACTACAGGGGGATACAGGGACTACATGGGGATATAAGGACTATACTCCTGTACACTATAGGGGGATGCAAGGACAACATGGGGATAAAGGGACTACAAGGGGAAACAAAGACTACAGGAGGATACAGGGACTTCAAGGCATATAGAGATAACAGGGACATACAGGGACTGCAAGAATGTACAGGAACTTAAAGAACACTGGGAGGACCAGAAACCATGGGATCAAACAGGAATCGAACAAGGACAAACAAGATTTAAAATAAATCTTATAACATAAATAAGATTGAATACAAAAAAAATTGGGTTGGGTCCCACTCCACTTTAACGCTCAGGGCAATTTCTCAGGATACCCAACCCTTGCCCGTCTCACCCGAGAGTACAGAGCAGAAATAAAAACCTGATTCTACAAGTTAATCAGCTGGAGGAGAGGCGGGGGNAAATGAACCATCCCTCAACAAGTAGACAAGTTGAAATACTATCAATCATAATCTTGCAAGTTAAACTTTGCAACTTTTCATTTTCAAAAATATCGGGGTGTATGAAATCTAAGCAAATATTTTATCAAAATTTGCATGTTAATCAAACACTAAGCAGTCTTAGAAGAAAGGAAAAATTGAAAATTTTCCTAAATCACAAAAGTTTGATTGATGATACCTTGTGTGCGCACAGGACAATAGTTTAAGCATGTTTGTGTACGCAAGCGTGCACGTGAGCGCGGTATGGTTTCAAATTATGATTGAGCGCTTGAAGAATCCTCCTCCTATACTCTCAAGGATGAATATATGTGTCTAACCCATGTCTCGGATTAATATAAAGAAAATCCAGGGATATTTTAAAAGAATGCGGGAAGCAATGTGCCGGAAAAACTGCGAGGCATGCCAGACATGTGCCATGTGTCACATTCTAAAATGCATCCAAGGAGAACAAACAAATATCAAGCAGAGAAAGGGTAAAATAGTGGGAAATTTTTTAAAATTTGCTAGTTTTTCTTTTTGCGGTTTGAGAGCTATTAACAAACGATTTATTTCAAAAGCTTAGAAATGATGTGAATCATTTGTGTGTAATCATTTTGTTTCAATGATGATTGATAGATTTTAAAAACAACAAACTTATGTTTAAGCTCTAATGGTAAAATTTAAGGATTAAGTTTTAACAGGTGGATTCATTGTTCAAACTTTCTTCAAGCATCTGAGATAGAATGGGAGAAACTAATATATTAATTAGAAGTTACAAGATAATGTAAAACAATAAAAAACGGTCACACATGGATAAAATACAGATAAACATCTTAGAATTAAGATTAATGTTGAGATAATGAAATTTCTCGGTCAACTACTCTCTGTACTCTGAGAAAAAATTGAACAATTCAGTTTCTATTGACGTGAAATTGTTTAAGATGAGTATGGGAATCTCTGGGTGAGATCCAAATAATTAAAGATTAAAGCAAAGAAAATTTAGAAAACGAAATATAATCATTGTTTCGATGGGGGAAGGAAAAAGAAGTTCCAGACAAAGATAGAAAAATGAAGAGATGTGAACGGGACAAAGGGAGAAAGGAAGCGTAGGATAAGGGAAAACGTGGGATGATAGTTGAGCAGGTAGAAGCGGAGAAGGGAAGAGAAGAAGTAAAAGGGAAGAAGGAGAAGGGAAGAGAAGGAAAAGAAGAGAAGGAAGTGAAGAAAGTGAAGAAAGTGAAGAAAGTGAAGGAAGAGAAGGAAGAGAAGGAAGAGAAGGAAGAGAAGGAAGAGAAGGAAGAGAAGGAAGAGAAGGAAGAGATGGCAGAGAAGAAAGAGAAAGAAAAGAAGGAAGAGAAGGAGACGAAAGAGACGAAAGAGAAGATAGTGAACGAAGAGAAGGAAGGAAGTGAAGAAAGTGAAGAAAGAGAAGAAAGAGAAGGAAGAGAAGGAAGAGAAGGAAAAGAAGGAAGAGATGGCAGAGAAGAAAGAGAAAGATAAGAAGGAAGAGAAGGAAGAGAAGAAAGAGAAGGAGACGAAAGAGACGAAAGAGAAGATAGTGAACGAAGAGAAGGAAGAGAAGGGAAGGGAAGAGAACAGAAGAAAAGGGAAGGGAAGGGAAGAGAAGGGAAGAAAAGGGAAGGGAAGAGAAAGAGAAAGGGAGAAGGACATGAGAAGAAAAAAAGGGAGAAGGGAGGAGAGGAGAATAGAAGAGGAGAGAAGAGAAGAGAATAGGATGGGGAAGAGGAGATAAGAGGAGAAAAGAGAAGAGGAGAGAAGAGAAATGTAAAAATTTGCAAAGGAAAGAAGGAGTAAAAGGGAAGAAGAAGGGACGGGAAGGGGAAAACATTTTAAGCATTGTATAAGATGACTAATTAAAGTACTGCAGGGGGTATGTGGTTGGGTAAGAGTGGTTAGGGTGTTAAAAAAAGTTGAAAAAAAGTTTAATGAAAAGGGAATGGGACAGGTACAAAGAAGCAGAAACAAGACAACCTGCTAATTTGAGAAACCCCGCGGCATTATGTGCGTGGAGAGAAGCGTGCGTGAAACAGATGTTTTAACAATTATCTTCATATGGCAGAAATATTATCTCAATTGGATAATTTTTATAATTTAATAAACATGGAAAAATCCAGGGGCATCCAAAACCTTTTCAACCCAAGTGCTTTCAGAGGGGATTTTAGAAAATTGTTCATTTACAATAAAACTTATTATTAACTGTTCACTAGAAATGTAAATAAAATTGAAGTTTCCCCAAAAAATATGGATAGTAAAACATTTATTTCCTATGATATTATCATGAAAAGTTTCTATAAACTTGTTCAGCATGGGTTTATTGA